AAATAAACAACTGTCACAGATGATCTATTGTGTCATATAAATTACCTGTAAAGGCACACATATCTGTCACAGTACCATGTAGGTACAACAAATATGCAACCAAGACACACACACACACACACACACACACACACACACACACTGCCTAGGACATAACCAGTTCAGTGACCCCAGGGGGTTTCCTACTCGCTGCTTTCTCTGTCTGTGTTGTGGGACATGGATGGGGATCCAGGTTGTAGGAAGGCAGCTGACTCATTCTCAGGCTGCATGGTGGTGGTGTGTGGCTTGCTGTCAATCCTCAAGGGAGATCTCTTCTCTAACTATATCATTGGAGTATGTAGGCTGTAATGACTATGAATTCGATTAGATTAGACGGAGCTTGTCACAGAAAACTGCAGATTAATTTGTGCTACTACTGTGCACGTCACGTGGGAGTAAAGTGAGCTAAAGCGTGTAAGCAAGACATGGCGCTGTGAACAACTTCATTATTTTGTGTTGAATAATTTCTGTTAAATCATCTACTCATGTAAACGTTTGACCTCCTTGGTCCGATTACATACACGCCACCATAGCAACTACACCTCTGCACACATTAAATTGTAGATATTAGCCTTATTGTGAATTTAAATAGAGAGAAACACTGTGTCTCTTGTTGCAGTGAAGCTCTCATGTGTTTCAACTATTCTATAATAGACCTTTGAGAATACCGCATTTAGTGATGTAAGAACCCCCAATTCACTGTGACACTGACCAGCAATAAACCCCCACCACAGCTTGTTAATATTTTGGTTTGTGTTCACTTGTGTCTGTAAAAACATTATGTTGGTATTACAGAGTGCAAAGACATTTTAATATGTAACATTTCAATAGACAACAGCTAGACCAGTCAGTGGGAATGATTATTGGAAACAGAATATACCAATGTTAGCTCCACAAGCATTAGCAATTAGCCACCTTTAGCAACTTAGCAAATGGCAATACATCGCTGGCCATTTATTGTTGCAGGTATAAGCACGAAGGACCAACCAACCCACTATCAGATTGTCCTGTAAAGACTACACACAGCAAGGATTTTGACACTCAAACGTTTGAATTTACCAAAAAAAGTGAAGCTTTTAATCAACATATATTTAGTAATTAATTAATTAGTTCATTATTTCTGAAAATCAATCAGCAGTATTGTTGTAAATTGAATATTTTTGTGTTTAGGCTGTCAAACAGGACTACTGATTTGAAGACATCATCTTAGGATCTGTGATTTTTTTTACAGTTTACTGACATTTTAGACTAAACAATATATTGAAATTGAACAACTAATGAGCATATAAATAATTAACACTTATTATTTGCTGCAGCCAGATGTCCATGTGCATTAAAGGGACAGCAAGTTATGCCCACTATAGATGGGCTAGATAGAATACACAGAAGATTATAACAAGCATGAAAATGAACCTTTCTCATCTCTGTCACCAAGTCTCTGAGCTCTGTCCACCAACTATTGCTCCTCTCTTTATCACTTCTTGTCTCCCAGCATGCCTTTGAAATGAATGAGTACCGGCTGGCTGCTTTGTGTTTTGTTTTCACTGCCAGTATAAGCTCCTTGTTTAAACAACACGAAAATTGGTGTGCTCATTGGCCGAGAGTTGTCTGTAGTTTGTTCTGTGCGTATTTCTCCACAGAGCGTCCCTGAGCCTGAATTTCAATTAAGTCATCTGTTCCTTTTTCTGATTTAATCTGCCATCACCTCAAAGGACATTCATTACTTTTTTAAAGCTGATACTACTGTGATTATGAGCCTTTACCGGTATGCATGGCTGACAATCTTATCTGTGCCATGCGCCTAGCCAATTTACTGTCATAGTAAAGAATGCATAGTAAATGTTCTGTCAAATTGAAATATTGCTTTAACAGTGTAGGCGGATAGGCTTGGATTCACCCTCCGGGACTATGTGGTGAGCTTGATGGGCCCAGATGTTTCCAGAGAAAAGAAACAAATGCTAATTACTCTGCATATCTCTAGGCATTGCAGATAGAAACACAAGTTGTAAGCGCTGAATATCCTCAGACACATCTCCTAGCAGGAAGACTGCAATTTTTATTTATTTATTTTTTCTTCTAAATTCTCATCACAATTTCTCTTTCCCGTCATCTAATTTGTTTTCATATGGCTGTGAGTCACAAACTGGTGTTGGGCAACAGACTTGTTACCATGGTACTAACTAAACTGCATGGACTGTATTGTTAAGTATGTGAAATATTTTGGCTGTACTTTGGCAGGCTGTTCGAGTCCAGTGCACAGACAATGTTCTCAAGCTTTGTGAACACTGTGCATCATAGCATTATGGAAAAATGAGTGCATAAACCATGCAAACCCTTTGAATGGTTAAACTTTGAATGCAATTATTTGGAGGAATAAGAAAATGTAACTGGCTTATTTGCGGGGGTGAGCTGTATGCTGTAGTTGTTTACACTCCTTCCTCAGGCTTCCACAGGCTTATCTGTTCATGTGCTTATGATACATTACTTTGAGCAGGGCAGACAGATCTGGGAGGGCCTGTAAGCCGTTGTATTTAGACACAACACACAGTCTAACGCTCAAGAGACCACAGGCTCTTTGTTCCCATTTCCTCTACAACAATTCAGGGCAGAGTTAAGGCAGTGTTTTTTTCTGATTTATTTAAGCACATGTGGTTTACAGCTGACAGGCTGCAGGGGCGGCAGAGAACAGTGTCTGTGGTCCAGGTGATTTGTCATTAGATGAGGTTCATTAAGGCTGGCAGTGTATTGTTGGGCTAACTACTGATGTGAAACAGGGTCATGAATCAGGCACATACATAGCATGGTACACTTGCAGTTCTGGTAATAATGCTTATGGATCCCATTTTAATATGAATTCCACTGCATTTCAGATTTGAAATGTATTTCCTGTTCCACATGTTGGGATGGTAGTTAGAAAAAATAAATGCCAGTGGCATGATGTATTTGGGATATGGATGCAAATTCAGGTTCGTTAAATTTGCTGTAAAAGTACAAATCAACTGTACGTGATTCCAAAATGTCATTCAGTGTTTATTGAGAAGCTTGTTCAGCTATCTTACTCCACTGTGGCCATATGTGAATTTTGAAAACTTGCTCTTAAAGTCCAGCTCATCCAAAATGAAAGCTGGCTGACCTAATTTCTGGCATTACCAGCAAGAGCTGATGTGGACGAAGAGATTAGGTTTATACATACATACCTACAGTTACATCTATTTGTGATGATTTCAGCAAATTGTTTTTATAGGCTTTCCAGCTTTGAGAAAAAAGATAAACCATTGGAATATTGTTTTTAATGGAATAATTTTTTTAAGCAAGTAAAATATTTGTATAATGATAACATAGGATGCAGACTTTTAAAACTGATGTGAGCATTTTCAGTCAGTATGTTTTTTTTTTTTTAAAGAAAAAGCATTATTCAATATACAATATCACCTTTAAGAATTACAGTGGTGTGAGAATGCCAGGGATTTGAATCTGTGTCTGCATGGATTTCCCTCAGGATCTCCAGTTTCCTCCCATAGTCCAATAACATGCAGGTTATGTGAACCAGTGACTAAATTGCCCATAGGTGTGAAAGTGAGTGTGAATGTGTGTGTCCGTCTGTATGTGTTAGCCTTGTCACCGGCGGTATGTCCAGAGTGAACCCTACCTCTTAACCCATGTGTGCTGGGATAGGTTCCAGCACCCTGTCATCCTGAACAGGATAATCGGGTTTAGAAAATGGATTGATGGATTATCGGAAATTGGTGTTTCATATAAAAAGAATAATGGAAAACTCACAACCTAATGCAAGTTTATTATATACAGTCCAGTATTGACCAGATTCGGTGAATACTGAGATAGATTTATAGGACTGGCAAAATACAATTACAGAACACAGAAAAAAAGGCTTTTTACTTTACATACTTTGGCCACATTATCGCATTTTCACAACCAAATACTAATTACTTATTCCTTTGCTTTGCATTGATGAGATATTCTTCTAAATTCTAACCAACAAGCTTTCTAACATCTTTGGTGGAGGCAATAACCTGATAGCTTTACAATCATGACTCTCACTATACTTAAGAATCTGCATTATTTTTATTAGTATTATTATTTTAGTTCAGCAGGTTTAAGAACTCTTAAATGACATTCATTCCTCTGACAGAGTGGTGTCTTAAGCTCAAGGAGAACATTTCCAAGCCACTGATTTCAACAAATCACATGATTTTCTATGCAGTGTTCGTATTCAGGACTTGTTAATGCATGGCACACTTGTAATAAGTTGTCATGTCAATGGGGTCAAGTAGGTGTGGTGCCACTGATTGGTGCAACACAGTAAGTGTAAAAAACGCTTGTGTGATTGTTAGACTACTCGACAAGGCTCTCTGATAAACAAACCTTTAAGGAGACTGATTAAACTCAGTGAGAATACACAAATAGTTCTCCCCTTCACCATTTATTTAGTGTTTTGTGACATTTTATGGTAAGGTTTTCTTCAAATGTACTGCATTCAATGTACTGTAACTAATGTTGACACTGTTTGCTCAAGCATAAGCGCATGAAAGGTACACTTCAGAAATGCTGTGACACAATCTTTATAAGGTTAAATGTGAGAGAGAAACAGACGAGAGAAAGGGAAAAGAAAATACACAAGATAGCAGCACTACTTGCTGGCATGGACTTGGGACTGGTTGACTATGACTTTGTCTGACAGTTGTGTGGCCTTAGTGGGCCAGGGAACCCTGACGTTGAACAGACTTGATTTAGACAATCATTAACCTTTTTTTTCCCACCTATCAATGATTTGAAGCTTGCTTCTTTTTCATTTGCCTTTAATCATCCTCTCTTCTGTTTGTATGTACTCTGATCTTATTTAATTTCCTTCTCCATCCCTTGGCCTTTCCACACCTTTCTACTGCTCTAACCCTCTTCTGCCCTTTCCTTCCCTGCCATCCCGATACACTCTTCCTCTCCAGCTGGGTTTGTGAAGTCGCCAATGTCTGAGACTAAGCTTACGGGGGACACCTTTGAGCTGTACTGCGACGTGGTTGGTAACCCCACTCCAGAGATCCAGTGGTGGTATGCTGAGATCAACCGAGCTGACTCCTTCAAGCAGCTGTGGGACGGAGCCCGCAAGCGTCGGGTAACCATCAACACGGCCTACGGCACCAATGGGGTCAGTGTGCTTGGCATCACACGCCTCACACTGGAGGACTCTGGGACCTATGAGTGCCGGGCCAGCAACGACCCCAGGCGCAATGACCTCCGACAAAACCCTGCCATCACCTGGATCCGCGCCCAGGCCACCATTTCGGTGCTACAGAGTGAGTGGTCTATATCCTGTAGTACCTAGATGGTGAACGAACCAACAATCCCCTGTCCCAACCACTCCAGCCCGTAAAAACCTCTCAAGAACCCACCCTCACCACAGCGGTCACTGGCCAGGCAAAAAAATAAATCAAACACCAGACATGTTATTTATTAATTTGCATTTTTCAAGTTACTTTTTACAAGCTTCAATGAAAAATATTCTAATTGTCTAAATAATTTAGACCAGTGGTTGCATTTTGTGTTTTTTTTCTTAATTTGGTTTGATAAATATTTATGTTCTTTCCTACTCGGTAAACTCCCTGTCTCTTCCAAAATCCCTTGAGCATATTGTTGTAAATGACCACAAACCCAGGAACTTTACCCAGTCTCTATCTACATTTCCCTCTTTCCTCCCACACCAAACTTTGGTTCTTACTGTCTCTTGTGTCCTTTTACAAATTTCTGATCATTATCTTTTTCTCTGTATCCTAATTTCACCCATTTCCTATTCCTGAATTTATTTGTGATACTTATTCCTTTAACATTATGTTGTGTCTCTTGCGTTGCGTGGATTGTTTTATTTACTTCAAAGCCCTGCCTGATCAATGCAGCGAAAACCTAGTGGTGCTTTGAAGTAATGGTGCTTTTGATTTGGCTTTCTCACTCTGGGCACAGTGTAAATGGGACTGTAAGAAGACACAAGGAGGGATCCGATAAGGTGTAAAAGAGTGATTCCTGCTGTCAACTCTTTCCTGATAAAAGCAAACATTTTCTGCTTTCAAATTTGTGTGTGGTAATCCAATAAAGGATAATACCACGTGAGGGCCTTGAGTGTCTCATTTCTTGTTCAGATGAGACAGAGATTTCCCTTCTACAAAACAGTCTCTCTGGACTTGCCTGTGCACTGTGTAACCTTGTGCCTTCTCAGCCATTAAGCGTGAGTGTGAATCAGTAATGACATTATATCTTTTAACCCTCTGCTCTATGCACACAAACATTCAAACAAACTGAAATTCAACTGGACCCTTCTAATCTGTACATGCTTCAGTGCTCTGCCCACTGGAGCACAGGGAGATGTGGAATGTTGTTAGTCATAGTGAAGCTCTCTGAGGAGCTTAGAGGAGTTTGATCCTTGCTTGCTCTTCTGATTGGACTGACAAATTTTGATTTCTGTGTGAGCATTATTTGATTAGTTGTGGGGCTGGTGCAATTTAAACTATAAGAAATGCAAAGGACAGCAGCTGTTCACTTCTCACATTTACTTCTTTCCTACTTTCCTGCCAACGTGTAATTCAAGTCCTCACTAAATATATTATGTCATTACTGAGGAGTAAATGTTCTTTGTATATACATGTAATATCCAGGTTATTACATGTATATAACAGGCTATACATAATAGCCCATTGATATGAATGTATAGTTTGTAGCTGGGGAAACCTGCTGAAGTCTGATTGTCTTGTTTTGACCTTTTGCTTAATTAAGTTTGGGAATGTGAATCGCTCTAAATACCAAGAATCAGTGTATTTATGTAGTCATTCAGTCCCATTGGCATTTGAATTTGAAGTAAATACAATTTTAATGTTGATTTTTTTCCCACTCAAGAAAATAACCTCCCCCAAAATATGCATGCATGGATAAAATCTACTCGAGATACATCTTTTTAACATGTTCTTTCTACATGTGCTTAAAGTGATACTCTACCCAAATCTTTTGAGTATGAAACTCTCCAAAAATGTTTTCTTATTAAAGGAATAGTTTTACATTTTGGAAAATATGCTTATTTGCTTTGCTTTTGTTTAGATGATAACATTGATACCACTCTCATGTCTGTATGGTAAATATGGAGCTATAGCCAGCAGCTGGTTAGCTTAGCTTAGCATGATGACTGGAAATGGATGGAAAGAGCTATATGTGTATATAGGACTATTTCTATTTCTCACCCTAAGGCCAGGCTAGCTGCTTCCCCTCATTTCCAGTCTTTATGCTAAGTTGCTTGGCTGCTGGCTATAGCTTCATATTTAGTTTACAGAAATGAGAGTGGTATTGATTCTCTCATTTAACACCCAGCAACAATGCAAATAAGCATGTTTCTCTTAATGTTGCACTATTACTTTAACAAGGAACAGCAGCTGTAGTCAGCTTTAATTAATCTCAATTACAACTGATTCCAATGGTGACAAAACGTCTGTAGAAACTTCTCTAACCACTCCTGCATCATTGTTGATTGTTACACAAAGATATGGCTAAATACAGTGCTTCTGTGTCACACTTCCCTTTTATCACCATTCTTAAGTTTCCATGAAAGTAGTTTATTTAACTGCATTTTGGTGAAATGGCTGGGAAGCTGAACATATAAATGACATCAGAGAAGTGGATAATGTTGAAAGAGTGGTTTGCGAAATTTCTGGGGAGGATTTTTCATTTTTTTCAACATGAAAATCTTTTCACCTTTGGAATTTATTGTGGCTCACATGAGTTCAAGTTGAACACAGCTAATTTCTGAAATAACCCTTTTTTAGGCACTGTTAAAGCCTACAAAGGGTGAGTTTCATACTCAAATACATACACACAGATTTTTGTATGTACTATCACTTAAATAATTACATATATCTCTGTGGATTTTGAATACAGACATATTGTACACTTACTAAATTGAAGCACATTTGTGAGACTTTGCTCTTTAAAACACTCATAATGGTATGCAAAGTTCTACTATTTGTTTCGCAAAGTAATATAAATGTGTAATGCAATTCAAAATGATATCCTTATTAAGAATGAGTGGTTCAAACCATTTAGCTCAACCACGTGCTCAGCAGGCCTACTATTCTCTGTCCCAGCACAGTTACTGGGACATCTCTCTGGCAGTGCACTTTTTCTATTGTAATATGCTACAATATGATTTTTTGAGGGCCTGCCTTGCCTTTTACAACAATATAATGCTCCCCTAATTGTAGATCTTGCCAAGTTGGTTACTATGTCTCAGCTATTTAGTTGAAGTGATTTAATACATCTTGGCAAAATGTAAGAGAATGCAGCTCTACGTGATATTCACTCAAAACTGGTACTTTAATTAAGTACCACATAATATGAATTTGAAAAAAAAAAAATGATTCTGATAATGCAATAATGTTAAGTCTTGTAATATCTGTCAGTTAATTGGATACTAGATCAATCTAAATACAGCACTGGATTAGAGTACCAGCAAGATGAAAGGGGCGGTCAGATTTCACTACAGCTTGACTCATTTGGAGCAACATTTTATATTTGGTTATATTCTGATAAGGCAATACACTATCCAGCAGTTACCAGATTTTAAGTTGTGACAAGGTGTCCTACAAACAACCTTCTGGTGAAATTGCCTGTGGACCACTGCGCCGTGTTTGCTAAATGTTAATTTATGTACCTCATGTTGTGTGTGTATGCATGTCTCGAAGATACTATTAATAGTACATGTGATTCTGCTTGGTGGGGGAGAGAGAGATGCCAGGGGGAGGGGAGAGATATCCCCTTATTTATTGAGTATACAGAATTGCAATAAGAAGCACCAACGAATGCTAATAGAAGTCACTCGTCAGTCTCAGTAGCCCTCCTTTCCCCTCTCCTCCCCTTTTCTTTCCAAGTGGCCTTACAGCAGCAGCCAGTAGTAAGATTATGATGCTTCTCCTCTCTGCTCCTCCCCTCGGGGGCGCCATCGTTGCCATGGTTGGCCCGCCCTGGAGGAGGAGGAGGAGGAGGAGGGGGGCAGGGCGGAGGAGGCTTCCTGCTCACTACTCACGACAGAGCAAAGGGCGCCTCGCTCTCAGATGACACCTCCGGCTTCCCTGAACGTCCTTGAGAAATGGACCCTGGTATTGTTTAGTAACTAGTGTGCTTAGCAATTTAGAGGGTGAAGTACTTTAGGTAGGTATTCAGCAGTAATGTAAAATGTCAAAAGACTTTTTAAGAGCTTTTTTTTTTTACTTCTATATTTTGATGGCATTTACATGCAAGCTTGCAAAGAATAGGCAATCTTTGAGAGCCAATCCAATGAAATATTAAAATTACTGCAGTTATAAGCTTCTATCTTCTATCTGTTAAATATCCTCCTGGAGATTGTGTGACTGTACATTAATCAGTATAGTACATTATTCAGAAAATCATTCATAAATGCATTGCTATGACAGGATAGGTGTGAGGTAGGTATTATCAATCCAATGAATGTTTAATATATGTCTACACATGAGAGATGTTTTGTAAGCACTTTCTCTTAAATTCTTAAAGTTGATGTAGCAGTTAAGTTATTAACTATTACTTATTCAAATTTACTTTTTTACTTTAAGATACTTGGCTGATACAAGGCATTCCAGCCGTTTCATGTACTTATTATGTCTTTTGTTTATTTGTTTTGTGCACCTTTGTCTTTACTTCATAGACAGCCTCCTACACAGATTGTATAAAAAGAGCATACAGCCTACAGCTACTACAGGATGGGAGGAAGCATTAAAACAGCATTGAGCTCCAGTTCTGTGATAAGGTTTGACTGTCTCTGTCTTCCAGAACCAAAGATCAATGCATCTGATCAGACCATCCTGTCAGCGGACAGCACTAGCAAACCAGTTACCCTGCAGTGTAACCTCACCACTGCTCAAACTCCCCACAAGGAAAGCTTCTGGATGAAGAATGGACATGAGATCACCAATACACGGACAGAGCAGAGGAACACAGTGTACAGGTGACAAACGGCTTCCCCACTATGTAGGAAGTAGGACACATTTTGGGAGAGAGGACAATGCGAGCAACGAGTGCTCCCAGCAGTGGATAGTGAATGAGAATTCATCTACAATTTATCTAAATGTTTCATGTAAAAGTGGCTATGTGAGCAAAAAACAACACATTCTGAAGAGTAGGAACTTGCTGAGACAAAGGCAGTATATTGTAAATGGGTCAGACCACAGACTTGCAGACATTTCTATGTAGTCAATGTGCATGGTTTGTGCATTTTCCATAGACATGGGAGAGACAACAACTCATCAAAGCCAGATTGTACATGCATTCATCTTCAAGCTGTTACTGAGGCAATCAAGAAGAAAGGCACTGTAATTTAGAAGAGTGTATGGTTTGCAGATTTTTTTTTGTTTTAAGTAATCAGTGATATATTGAAATAATTATAAGTGATGCAGGCCTTGTAAAGAACACTGCTGAATTTGGCACCATATTCCTTTTAAATATCTCCAGACTGCTTTTGACTGAGGTCATTGCTGAGGTAATGCCTGGGTTTCTCACCAATTTGACTTTGAAAAAAATGATGCATTACTTATGCCTTAAGCTAATTATTGAACTATACCTATGCATCTAATGAGAAAAAAAAATCGTTGCAGAACGTACCAGCTAGTTGATAGTTCCTGCTGTCACACGATATAACCATTGGAGCACAAAGCTACTGTTGTCCCCGTAGACATACCACAGACTCTTCCTAGCCACAAGATAAGACCAATTGGTCACTTCCTTGTCACATTACATCAGTGATACTCTGAAGATTACAGCTAAAATGCCTGTGGTGTCCTTCCCTGCAGAATCGGGAGCTGCTGTTCCATAATATAACAGCATAATGCCAACATTTTGTCTCCCATGGCCTTGTAAGCCCCTCAAGCTTTGACTGTTGTAGTCCTAATTAATTACTAGAGTTAAACTGAAATTAGTTCACTTTATTTACGTGACTACTTACAGTGTAAGTGACTGGTAAATTTGAGTCATTAAATAAGGGTGTCTTGTATTTTGTTGTAGAATTGCTAAACCACGGGCAGATGATTCTGGGGAATACATGTGTGTTTACACATTCGACATGGCACCAAATGCAAATGCTACAATTGAAGTAAAAGGTAAGATTCCTGTGTCACATATTAACGACTGAACTTGTGTTACATGAATGTTTCAAATATTAGTTCTTTAAAATTCCTCCATGATGTATTACAATTCTGAAAAAAACCTGGCTTAAAATCAAGCTCTTATCAGGTCATCTGTGGTTTTCTACAGAGAGATAAAGAGATAAAGGTGTCCTAGAAACATTATCCACCCAAAGCTGTGTGAGGAGATTCCTTGTTGACAAAGATGTTTGAATTCATCCAGTGCAGTGGTGATGACAAGGCTGAATCCGGAGGCTGTTGTCACTCTTGGCTTTCACTTAGACAACAGTCTAGCAAAATGGACAGGCACTGCACATGCTCACCAAAACTTGTGAACACAAAGCCCGCTAGGAGGCATCCTTAAGAGCTGTTATAAACCTTTAAAAGCTGAATTAAACTCATGATATAAAGTTTGTAAATTACTTTTATACTTCATAGAACAAATAATAGTTTAAGTAGAGCAAATTAACTAGGACAGTCTATGTAATGGCTAGTAAACCTAACCAAAGAACTACTGTGTTGGTTTCATTCAAGCTGACAGCGAAGCCATCAACTTGAATAAGGAATCTTCTCTGAAAAAGGGCAAGTGAAACCCTGTTCAAGAGAAGCTTGCCTGTGTGTAGTGCATAAACCAATTTGCTGTGGCATGGCTATGGTGCATACTGAGCATGCCCTGCCTCTTATTCCGCGGCTGTCTTAAAGCGCTGCCTGATTGCATAACATGGGTGATGACCGTGTGTGTTCTGCTTTCACTGGATTGTGAGATGATGGGACTCATCGCCATTCAAAATGAAGTGTCCTCGCCATCACTAGACTGCAGGCCTGTGACTGTTGAGGCTTGCTATCTGTCCCCTGGAGAGTCAGTCTTTAAACTAAACTAATGATGCACGATTGTGTCCTTTAAATAGGTCTACATTCTGTGTCTAAAAACATATTAAAATAAGAGGATGTTTTCGACATTAAGAGTAGGTACAATTGCTGGATCCAAACTAAATATTTTCTTCAGTTCTTAAATGCTCTTGTGATTTTCTAGAGGTGTTTGAGATCTTTTGTGACCCAGGTAGCAAGCCCACTGTTATGCTAGCCAGCTTTGCACTGCGCTTCTGGCAGCAGTTCACTGAGATCCCTCGCCTACAGTGTCCTTGGCACACTCATCCTTGCAGGACTCGGCTCAGAGGCAACAGATGGAGGGTTCTGTGATGTTGTAGGATTAAGGCTCTGAATCCGGTCCCAGCCATCTCTGTGGCAGGAGTGGAGTTTATTGTCTGTGATACTAAGCTTACCACAGATACATATTTGGTACCTGATATTTCTCAAATTTTAGGAAGTGTTAAGCGCATTTATTTATGAAAAGGTTTTAACTTCATTGCATGTAGATATTTTCCCATTTTCCTCAAGAAAACAGTTTTCCAAGTTTAAACAATTTTACACATATTGTCAAAATATCTAGCTACTTAATCATTCATGTATTCATGTATGTATTGATTTTATGGCTCTTTCTGACAGCTTTGCTGTTTAGCCTTGCTCCTCTTCACTGGCCCCTCTCACAATTATGTGCCACTTTACCTCTGTCTAGCACATGCAGATTAATAGACACAGTAATCGTAGTCAGGAGTGTGAAATGGAGGTTTCTGCCTGTCTCAGCATCACTCTGAGGCCTTTCTCTGTGCTGTCAGTCACTGGCATAATACAGTCATGATAAGGCACAAACGGGCTTGGCCACTCCCCTACTCGGGGAGCACGTGTGCACCATAATTAGAGAGGGGTGATGTCACCAAAGAGCTCAGACCCCTCCTGCTCCATTATCCATGCGCAGCTGAAAAATGCTCACTCCAGGCCTCTCCCTTATCCTGCTTAATTGCATGGAAAGAATTATTGTAATTTTGAGGATTAGTGGAAAAGCAAGAACAGTTATCTTCCTGATGCTGTGTCTCACCTTTGGGAAAGACTGTTCTATTGATCAGTTTGACTTGGCATCTGTTGCAGTGCTTCATGATGAATTTATTAAATTCATAACCTTTGTGTTGCATTTTTACTATCAGCTTATTCATTAATCAGAGCCAATTCACACCGTTTTGCTTTGGCTCAAAATCTCTTTTGTGGAATTCACTGTGGAATTATTTTGAATGGGAACATCTGGAGGCTCTCATATCATACTGATCCCCCTTTTCCATGACCTCATTATGAGTTGTATTAAAAGGTTTTTATCTCTAAAAGAGGGGGTTTGGTGGTGGGAGTGTACGTGCTCACAAAATAAATACACACCCAAAACGGTACTTTTTATTGCAAGCTCTAGTCCACCCTTACTCCTGGGCAAGCCTCTGTTCTACTAGACTCTGTTATGCAATACAGTTTAAATTAAATGTAGGGTTTATCTCTATGTTGCTGAAAAAACAGGTATCTACTTGTCAAAAGCTAAAAGAGAATACCTATTTATTTTAGCAAAGTCATGGCAAAGTTATTTTGTAAGACTCCCTGGAGCTGTAGTTTAGCTAACAAAATAATTAGTGCCATGTGTTGAAATGATTGGGTGTTAAAACTGTATTAGCACGTACAACAGTAGAAAAGATGATAACCTGGAAATGTAGGAAACATAATACAACACAAAAAGGCATCTGAATAACACATATTATTACCATAGCCAGAGCAGCCAATCATGCTTTCCTTATTCATGCCATCTGGTAGGAGTTAAAACGTTCCTTTGAATGTCTTACCTCTGCCAACTCAGCTAATGATCAACTTTATTTATTTATTTTACCTTTCCAGCAAAACCTGATATCACTGGTCACAAGCGAAGTGAAAATAAAAACGAGGGGGAAAATGCAATGCTTTACTGCAAGTCTGTTGGTTACCCGCATCCCACCTGGACATGGCGTAAAGTGGACGGAACATCATATACGGTATATGTACACATGTATATACAATATATTAAACTGTAATATATATAGGTACAATATAATAGCAGAAATGCTGTTTTCAATGTAATTAACTTTAAGAAACGGTCATTATGTTTCAGGACATTGACAACTCCACTGGGCGCTTCTTCATTACTAACAGAGACAACTACACAGAGCTCAACATAATCAACCTGGATATAAACAAAGATCCTGGAAAATACGAATGCAATGCCACTAACATGATTGGAAACACAGCTGAGACCACTATACTACGGGTGCGCAGCAACCTTGCACCGCTTTGGCCTTTTCTGGGTGTGCTCGCAGAAATTATAATCCTAGTAGTCATCATCGTTGTGTACGAGAAACGCAAGACGCCAGACGACATTATTGATGGTAAGAAAACTTTTTCTCTGTTACTATTAGTAGAAAGTAATAAACAATTGACTATGAAAGTAGATATTGCATTATTTATGTTGAAATTACAACAATGCAGTTAGAAGCCCTTGAGATATTCAATGTTTTTTTTTCTTCTGCTATAAAAGTAATGCATTATATTAAAAATACATCACCTACTGTACACACTGCCCTGACTCAGACTAGGAGGTACAGTTTGGTACATCAGTAAAGGTTTGCTTTGAACTGTCAGATAAGGAATGTACAGAAATAACAAAGTAACTCCCTTTTCCGAAAGGATAATGGCTGTAAGGTCAGCCTTTCATACAGGGGTGCTTACAGATGCAAGGGAACTATTAAACCACAAGGTTGCATCTGCTCTCATAGGAGATCTGTAATGGCCAACTAACTATCAAAGCCTTGCCTCTCAACTGGTGTGGCAAAAGGAGGAAGGAAGCACATTGCCACATATAAACCACTTATTCATGCAAGTATGACCTTTATACGTGCACATTGGGTTAAAAACACAGGGCCCTCAGCAACCTTTCCAAGAGTTGGCTATTTTGGTGCTGTGTATTGCCATAATGGTACCAGCACTTTTATTTCCATGTTGACAGCAGAATAACACCAATAACAACATGTGGGGTCATCAGTCTGTAGCTATAAAACATATCAGTCCGACTATGTAACTTAATTGGTTACTATTCTTTTCCCTTCCCCCTTCTTTCCTAATGGCAACATAATCTTAATGGGTGGTAAGTGAGAGATCCTGCATGGTTTCAGAGATTTCTTTCTTTCTGTCAATTTCTATGTTTTTATGAACCTACAGTGCATCCACAAACATTATGATCTTTGCCGGGATAGCTAACACAGTAAATTATGTTTTTTAAGTTAAATGAAAACCATTCATTTCCTTTTCTATTAGGTTGAACCCACAACGTCTGATATGTTTCCACAGATGATAATCAAATGTTTTGACATGGATTGACATTAAATTGTGTATCTGAAGATCCATAATCTTTAATCATATTATAAACCTAATCAGGATTTTTTTTATAAATAAACTTTTTGTATTTCTCAACTGATCCTAATTAAAAATGCATGCCTATGACAGCATGTTAGCATTTCTAATGTCACAGCCCAACCTAATCCTGTCAGTGAAAGAGGTGAACAACAATAAAAGCCCAAACCAGATCAAACCTCTAGGCTTGAGTTATCTACTATGTCAGCAAAATAATTAGCAAATACATTCAAATCCAAACCACCTGCATACTTTTATTAAGTTTTACAATAATTCAGATATAGTGTGGCCCCTGCTTGCTGAATATGCCCTGTTCTATTTTGTTCTATGTTAACTGAAGTAGAATTTTACACAAAAAAATGATATTCTAATTGTGATATTCTACATTACTGTGCCCCCCTATTTGGCCAGGACACTAGCAACAAAATAAAATAATGTTTGTTGTACTCCGCATTGCTCATTTTCACGATTCCATTAGTGGTAAAAATAAAATTCCACGTTACTGCCTCAAACAAACTTATCGGACACTGTTTGGACCTAGTCACTCAAGCCGACACACTGTAGATGGGCAAGTAGACCCATCTAGCCTAGCAATTTTAAGGCTAGACAGGTTCTTTAACACTTTCTTACACTATTAGGACCACTCTGAAACACACCAGTACTTGCTCCAATCTATAAGAACACATGCTGTTAAGAAGACTTAAATGTCTAGTCCTCTAATACCAGATGGCCCTTTTCTCAATGTAATCTACAGAATGAAAAACACTGTACTCTATTCAAGCCAATACATTTGTAGAGCTACTTGACCTTCAAAAAACCTTCAAGGGCCTCTACTCGGGTTACACCAAAGCATCTGCAATCTGGGTCTGAATTTTCTGTCAAAATATCAAAACTAATGTGTCTAATGTGGACAAAAAGGTATGACAAAACACTGAAGTAAGGCAAAATGGAATGGTAAAATTAATAAAGTAGCCTATTCATTTCTTTAAATTTGAATCAATTTAGTCATTCCTTTTTTACAACTTACTTATTTTTAGTTTTGTCGTGTATCCTTCATGAGAACAGCTTGAAACAAAAAAAATGGCCCGTGTTTTTAGGAGGCAGTCAAATTCACATGATAAGAATGTGACAAGATCAAAATGAGCTCAAAGGCATCTCCAGTCACCAAAGGTTCTGTCTGACCTCTACTCGCGTGGCTTTGTCTTTTCATTTTGTAATAAAAAACATTAACACAAAACCAAAACAGACACCCACTATTATGAATCACTCCAAGTCAGAAACAGTTGTGCACCACACTCTATTACAGACTTAACAAATAGAGCTTCAGGGTGCATCCTGTTCATTCATTTACTTAGTCCAAACAAAATAAGATTTACTAATTAATTTTTAAATATTAAGTAAACATATTTTAGGCTTCAATGTCTCAGTGTTCAAAATGGTGTTCTTTTATTTTGCTAAGTACCATAGATATCAGTGTGTAATAGCTACCAGAACATATTCTATCCATCTAACTAAATTATGTTAGTTAATCATACAACATGGTTTGTGATCTGTGAAAATAGTTAATTACTTCATAATTAGAAAAATGACGTTTTACTACAATACTTGCTTAAAATACATGAATGCACACACACAAATACACAAACCACACAGCTCGGAGTAAGCTCCGTGCATGGCCTCTAGTTTGGTTTCATCTACCGGAAAAATGAAGCGATTAAGGTGGATTATATTTGCCATGTTTATGCCATTCAAATCAGGAATGAGGACTCCCTGCTCACGATGCACAGCCTCTCTAAAATCTCCTTTTAGCATCCCGTATTCCCGGAGGTTTTGGCCCCTGTCTGCGTGCATTATGAATTCCGGTCTCTTGACGGCTTAGCTGTGTATGAACACTTTTATACTTCACAGGCAAGGGCTCTGAGGCAGAGGCTGACATTTCTATCCTGTGTTTCAAAATCAGTTGCTAAAATTGCAGATTTTGCTGTGTGATGATTTGCTAAATAACTGCTCACTTTAAATAATGACAGGAATTTTAAGCTACAAAACTTGCACCCACATACTGCATTTTTTGAAGTTACATAAAAAACGAACTATAACAGATGAAATCAGACTTGATGTGGTACAGTGATTATCATCAATGTTCAACTATCAATCTCACACAGTAAAAACCTGTTACTTGTCCTGTGCTTGCAAAGCCATTATAGTAAACATAGCTTTTGTGATGTATACATATGAAGTGTGAAAACGGTGGGATATGCCGACAGATGTTCCTCCTCCAAGTGATCACAGAACCATGTTTTTTTGTCTAACATTATAACTGCCATAATCTGCTCCATATTAATGCCATGGAATGCTGCTAATGCTGCTTATCTCCGACTTATAGCTGCATGGAAAATATCTCACTGTGACTGGTTACTTACCTCTTGACACATTTTCATCTGTATGCCAAACACCAACCACCATGTCAACCTCAAGGCTGTGGGTTTTTGAACTAACTTGTCACTCAATGCAACAACATCCACTATTATTCACCAGTTCTTCTTCCTGCAGTGTTTCTTGCTGTTACATTTCAGTATATGTTTATTTCACTGTTGTATGGTGAGAAGGAATAACAATTTTATATGGTGGTGATTCTTTTAAAGTGTGTCTTTCTTATTACCTTATGTCTGAATTGAATTAGCATTGAATAGAGAGATATTAACTGCTATGTACTGCAGGGAGTTGCAGTAACCTCTAGATGCTGAGGAAAAGCTTTGAAGAGATTCATATTTTTATGCCAAGTCAGTCACAGTATCACACTGCTGTGTGGCTCTTTCAGAATTACTATGAAATTGCTGAGTATAATTAAAAGATGGCTTTAAGTGAGCCATCTGTAACCCTCCTACACATATGCTCAGTCTGCAATGAACAGGAACCCCATGAGATTCAAATGGCATGTGAGGTTACGTTTACAATGCTTAGTGTTAACGATGTGGTTGTTTAAGAGACCATTTATAGTTTTGTACCACATTTCAGCCCTTCTACTACAAACATGTCACTGCTGACTATTTTCCAAAAGCGTTTTTTTTTTAAGAATGGGGTTTTACCACCTTTAATAGCCTTCAGTGTCCAAAGACAGTTACTAATGCAAGAAGCTACTAATTTGACAATCCTGCATTTGCTTAGTGTTTTCCTTCTGAGTCTGTTTATCGAACACGAAGGTTGCGCATACAAAGCTGTTGAGCAGCTCACTCCCTTGTCTGTGATGTCAGAGCTTCCCACCAGTGCACGACTCTGCCACACCAGTATTCAAAGCAATCTGTGCTTTCAGCTGCATCATCACACAATGTTAATCTTCACTGAAGGATTTGGTAACCTATCTATCTAATAAGTAAATAAATGGCTGCCAAGGGAAAAAGAAAAAATGTGAAAACTGTCAGCAAAGTAAATATAATTTGCAGTAAATGTGCTGAAGCAATACAGGTATTTTCCATCTATCTTTATCTGATCTTTAACTTCTGTTTTTTGTGTTCTTTTTTTTGTCTTGTTCTCTCGTGCCAAAGATGATGAACCAGTTGGACCAATGTAAGTAGATACATATTCTTATTGCTACACATATATTTCATACGGAAATACTGGGTACTTTGATTTGTTTTGCAATTACCTTTAGGTCACTAAATCATAACTGCCTCTTTCCTAGGAAAACAAATTCAACAAACAACCACAAGGACAAAAACATTCGCCAGAGGAATACAAAATAAGCAATTTACTCAAGTAAGACACTGTTGTAGGGGATGGGGGCTAAATATAGAACTCACTGTGAGGATTATCCATAGTCACACGTTCTCTTGATTTTCTCTTCACAGATGAGATGGCTAAACTGCATTTTTTGACTACATGATGGTGTCAGAGGTGGATAGAGCTCCAGGCAGTTTTGAAAAAAGCATATCTTGTCTCATTTTATGAGAAACAATATCAGCATAACACTGGCAACAAAAAGAACATAATGGCTGTCTTAAGCATGCCTTATTCAGTCTTACGTGGAGATTTCAGGATGACGAATAATGACTAAAACCACCACAAAGGTGTACACATTTTTAATGTGCTGTTGGTGTCTCCTTTATTAATTTTATCATATCCTCAGATGAGGTGATCCCTTTTGTATTACATATCATGTACAATGCATGCAAGATAATTACGCAATAGGATACTCAGAATAGACATTTTCTGTTGTTATCCCTCGTGTGGCTTTTTTTGCATCTAAAATGACCTATGTTTTTTATGAAGTCATCCTTATAATATATATATATATATATATATATATATGTGTGTGTGTTGTGTATATTATATATATGTATACACACACATATATTTATAGAGTTAGTTTTATTCTTGAAAATTTGTACAGCATATCATGGTCATTTAACTATATTTGATTTTGTGATAAGAAGTCCACTTTTAACAGAACTTTTGTTGTGAAGCAAGGGCTTCAGTGACTGGCAGTATTTAAATTTAATTGAGAGTGATTACAGAAAATGACTACTGTGTGTTTAACTATCTAAACAAAAATGATATGTGTATTATTTTTATTTTCTTTCCAGAGTAAATTAGGTGTCTTGTATATGTTGAAGTATGAGTGTTCAAATGATAGGAAATCTGTAAAAAATATTTTTTTTATATTTCCCAATTTCATTTATTGGTTTTTATTTTTTATTTTTCTCTCTAACTGTATAGCATGGCTATAATCCTATGCAATATGTATTCTTAAATAGATATATGGAGGGCAGTTTGTTTTACTCAGTGAAGCTTTAATATTGTGGGATCACTTGGAAGCTGGCATAGCAAAATTCACTGCTGTAGCTGCATGACTCCTGTTTCAATACAATGTATCCATGTGTGTTGCGGTGGAAATGGACCTGCATTAAGGTGGGAACAGAGGGACCAGAGTATATAGCCACGATAAAACATATGAGTGAGACCAATATTTTTTTTCTGAATAAAAAGTTTGGAAATGAATACAGATTATTATTTTTTTTTTTATGTTTTCCAAGTTCTTCCTCTAACTAATGAAATTCAGTACACTTTAAAGCATCCTCTTCTCGCCATATACCATACACATTTCAAACATCAGCAGCCCAGCCAGAAACACTCCACCACCACCACCACCAGTCACTGCCTACACAAACTGTATAAGAAAAAACACATGGCACAGATTTAACCTTTCTGCCTTCAGCAGTTGTTGAGATTCATCACTCTTCAAGCATTTTCCTCAGCTCTCCCTCCACCTTCTCCACAAATGCAGGAAAGCTGGGATCCAGCAGACAAATACGCAGGATGGGCTCCAAGTCACCTTGTGCCAAAGAACTGTGGCCATATACTTGAGGCAGAGTCACGGCAGTCTCTCCCAAGAAGTGCTGTGAAAGGTCCAAAAAATACTAAAATTAAAAAGAGGAAACCGTTACTTTAGTAGCTTATGCTAGCGTTTTTATTTAGGGAAGTTGATTAACTAAGCCCCTTGTGCCTCATGAAAAGCAGTGAAAACTCTGTGCTTCTTAGTTATATTTAACACAAAATTACACCTAATATGTTGCACAGTGGACGTTCAATTTTGTTAGTTGCTAGCTCTCACTTTTACAGATCAATACCTGGGTAAGACGCTTGATGGACAATGATCCTTGGACAACCTCAGGCTCAACTCCCACAGCTTTTCCCTTCCAAGTCTGCTGACAGGGTTACACACAAAAGAAGAAAAAAGATTTGACAAACACGGCATGACACCACAGGGTTAAGAGGCCAATCAATGGCTTCATTACTAATTGAAAGATATCTACCCCTCAAAGCCCTTTCATCTGCACTGTGAACTCCTTCAGCGTGTCTGTTCGCTAAAGGTCACATTCAAACCCATGGCAGACTCCATTTCTTTCTCAGCCCTTCATGGTAAATGTTGTTAGCCAGATGGCTGAATCCACGTTTCACTCAGAATCCAATTTCTAATTAACTACAAGCTCTGGGTGTTTCCAAGGTTAAAGGTAAATAAAAGGTCACTTCAAGCTGAATTGAATGATGCTAGCACCAACAATCTTATCCCTACATTGTGTCGTTTGTAGAGTGTGAATTACAAGTGGTTAAATGCTTTGAGGGCATTTTATATTGTTTTGTGTTTTTAGCTTTGGGACAAAAATGTTTGTTTTCATAATCAACAGTTTGACTGTTAAAAGCAATATTACAAACTCATTTATTCAGTGGCTTAAGGGGTATGCCACTTTGATGGCTGTATTTATAACGTAATCATATTATTGTTCTATATTCCTGTCTTTGCGTATGTGTTTGGGGTGGTACAAACTGTGTTCTACACCACATATTGTATTGTGATTGGCAAATGACTCACGTGCAGTATATACTCTCAGTCAGTGTGACCTCTAACAATAAGACAGTATTGTAAACAGCACCATCTAGTGAGCAAACATGGCGATTGTTCATGAAGCTGACTGTGGTCATGCATTGTGACAATACTGTTGGTTAAGCACTGAGTAATGCCTGTATGAGAACTTCAGTTATGGCAATTTAAATTACGCTGATATACTTTTTTAAATTGACAAAATGCTGTACAATAAATGGTAACATAGGAGATCAGCCAGGAAGAAAAGCTCTTTGATACTGTACAACCAAAAACCAGACGTACCACTTATTTCATAGGCCTATTTTGGGGATTTCTATGGCCAACACATTTTGAACATACAACCAAATAATCTGTGTTTACAATATAGACATTTTATTTACTGAATTGTATTGTGGCCAACCTGCATCACTGGTGCAGAGACCTCAGCGGGGGACTGATTAGGGGGTGGTGTGGCGGCGTCCTGAGTAGTGACAGGAACGTACTCCATCAGTTTTTCCACAGCACTTGAGCACTCCTTTATAGCCTCGGCCCTGCTGCTTCCATCAAACTGCATCCTTATCATTCGTCCCTCTCCCTGCAGAAATCAACAAACAAATACATTCAATCTATAAAAACAAAGTAAAATAAGGAATCTGTATCTGTTAGCAAAATTTGTATGAAATCACTCTCACGCATGTTTTGTATGTTGCTTTTGTAAAAGCAGCATCTCATTAAGTTAAAAAAAGGGTTTGGTATACAAGGAAACATGTCTGAACATTAAATAAATTTAACTACTAAATTATCTGGATAGTAATTTTATATGAGGATGACAGCATCTGAATAAACAATATAACAAACTAATAATCCAATCCTATTTAATTCAATTTCAACTCAATTTTATATGTGTAGCACCAAATCATAACAAAATTTATCTCAAGACATGTGAGTAGGTATAATCCCTACTCCTTATAAAAGTACTTAGAAACCCAACAATTCCCACCATGAGCAAGCAGCTCTAGGTGGGTGGCCATCTGCCTTGACCGACTAAAGTAGTATTAGTTTTTCCTTTTAATTTGTTATGGTGTAATTTATATAATGCTCTTGATCTTGCATGGGAATTAAGGTATTAGGATAGACCTTGAGAAAATACTACCCATTGTGGGATTACAATGCATCTCACGACTCACCATCACAGTAATTTGAAACATCAGGTTATCAGATTTCTGGTGCACTTTGAGAAAATCAGACCCACAGAGCAAAGGGATTGTATCCTGAAAGAAGAGAAAACGTCTTCAGCAGCAGACAGGAAAAGGTTTTATCCATAGGCTACATTAACCCATGAACAACATATACAAAAAACATTTTTGGTAAATGTTTTTTGTATATATGTATATATATATATATATAATGATCTTGTTCTGTACTATATCAAGTAAAAGCAGCTTGATTTCCACTCATTCAAAATGACTGAAAAAATAGTTACCTAAAACTGTCTGCAGGGGTCTCTGTTTACTCAGTAACCCTAGCTTTGAGGCTTATGGCAAGCTTTGTTACACACAGAATCAAACAAGCAAATGTATAAAACAATAGCTAAATACTGTGATCAGCCTATTTTGTTAAACGTGCGTTTGTTTTGACTTTTGACCTACATTATACACCTAAATAACAATGTAGGTATATCAACAGGGTCTCCTTGGACAAATGGCACTGCACCTGGAGAATGTGCTCTGCTGTACTGCAGCAGAATCCTTCTACATCCAATGTTTATAACAGAAATCTCTGAAACTAATAGCATTGTTGACTGCAAACTCAGTCATTTAATAACAGAAATAACAGAAACAGAAATCTTACTCAAGTGTCTCTGGTTGCAGTGGAAAAAATCTATTGCTGGAAAACAAAGTTACTGTGGTTGTGGAAATAAACATAAATAAATATGTAATTAAGACAGCCTTGTGATTTTTATAGAAATGCTGGTTCTCTGCTGAAATGCTTTAGTACATAACAATTAGAGAAACACATTATCGGATATTAATTTCCATTCTAATGCAAACGTAGGTGAGCAACTGTACTGTTTGCAATTAATGTAAGGCAGAACACCTAAATAAATGTGTGTAGGAGTATGAAAGTTATGTGAATCATATTCAGTGACCTTCACAAGCACCAGCTCCCAACCCAGATCAGACATATGGGATATTCTGTGGCATATGAGACAGTGCTCTCAACCATCATTATCAAAAGGCCAAATGAGGGAATATCTTTTGAAAGGATGGTGTTTAATACCTCCAGGAGAGTTCCAAAAACACAGAGAATCTATGCCAAGAACAGTGAAGCTGCTCTTTTTGCTTGTAGTGTGCCAGCAGTGTACTAAAACACTTTATACTGTTTTTCATCTATTGCATATTTAGTGTGAATGAATATCATGTCAATACAAGCATTTACTGATAACTGATTTTACCTTGTTGGATGCCTGTTAAGTCGGGAGTGTCCATATATTAAGAGAACACTGAAGCTCCTCAATAACATCGTACTTCTCTGTGATACAGCACATTTTAGTATTGTTCAAAGACAATTCCAAAAGTTTCCTTCAGACCTTATCATGTAGCCTATAGGCTTAAGCTCTCTGTATTGAAAGTTCCTGAGCATTTACTGCACCAATCTATAATAGACCAGTCTATCATGCTCGGTGAAAGCTCTCTGCAGCCTGACCTGAATATCTGTCTGGCTCGGCACCCTGGCGCAGCAAGATAGCCGTGTCACCTGCCAGAACTCTATTAATGAGACACGGAGTAGCCCCTTAAATTTCTGTTGTCTGCAGGGCAAGAAGTTAACTTTTAAAGGCCACAATAACAAGTCAAATTCCCCAAATTCATGTTCTAGTTTTACTATTTTACATGCTTAACCACATTTCTGCAGTGTAACACACCTATATCTAAGTTTTTTTTTTCTTCTAAAAAAATTGGTTTAACATCTATGTGACATTAGTTATGTCTTGCCCACAACTGGTATTGGCCTACTTCTGGTTTTAAGATGTATGTCACTCTGCTGTGCCAAGGTTGGCCACAAACCAATGCACGAACTGGACAACAAATGTCAAGTCAGTGTTCTATCAGGCATATAAAATAGAAGCATTCAAATTCACGCCCAACCTTACTACCATGTAAAATATTTCTATCAAAATCTGAACCAAGCCTGAACTGGGTTTTAGCTTTATGTCAGCCTGAACCTGAAGGTTTTCCCAATAGTAGTCTTCAACTGAATTTGAATCTGTACCCAAAAGTTCTGAGGGACATTTGGCTTGACCTAACCAAAACAATCCAGTCAAATCCCATCAGATTTCAGCAGAAATGTCAAGCTCTTCAGCAGTATGGCCGTATGGCCTTCATCGAAGCTTTTTATCTGGAAAGCAGATTTCTGTCACGGATTTAAATCCCAGAAAATTTGCTGAGAAAAAAGGTGCACTCTTTCTTTAGCCATTTTTAGAACGATGACACTGAATACTAAAAACTCTCTACATTAAAATATAGATTATTGTTTGTTTCTTTATACAAAAGCTACAATGTAGTGGTACGTAATACTTTGCAAGAGTTGCCAAGCAGTCATCCAAGACTGTGATTTGGAGCAGCATTACTAATAATGAATGCAATTCACATTCAATGTTCCCTCCATATGGGGAAGGACAACTTGTAATAACAACTGCGGCGTATTACAGATTACCAGTGTAAGAGCATGACATTTTCAGCTGCAGCCTTAAATTATTTCCCCTATAGCCACAATTTATTCTTTTTAATTACAGAGCTTGAAGTACAGGCACACTGCAACATCTATGCAAGACAGTGTTTCTTGCACTGACACCTGCTACAGTCTGAAGTTTCAATGTCAAGGTCTTAAAAGCTAGAAGTCTGTATGTGAATATCAAAATGAATTGGTGTACACCACAGAATTGCCTCACCATTTTTAAGATGATGAGTTTTCATGAAACTAAAGTCTACCTTGAAGGAGACTATATTTTTATTTTTGTCAACATCTGAATAACTTTTCTTGTGATATTGTGATCCACAGGCTTTGCATATATCCAACTATAATTACTAATCTTTCAAAAATAAACATACAGTATCATATGGAAACCCACAATGAGGCATTTTCTTTGCATATTTCTCTCTTTTTCTCCTGATGTGTAGGAGCGTTGACATATATCAATTCAATTCTACAGTGAATTAGTAATGAACAGTCCTTCTCACCACCAACAAGCACATGAGGCTGGATCTAAAGTACCATACAGGGTACCAGGATCTGGAAATATAGGCTTAATCTACAGATCTTGTGTTAATTAATTACAGCACTTAATACAGCCACATAGTCTTCTTACCAAGCTTTTCTGTCCTTGCAATACCAGCAAGTATCCAGAGTCCACAATTGTGAGGACAATTTCTGGTTTATTGCCATTTCCCTCAAATACCTGGTGAAGAGAAGATAGTATTAGCCAGTACAAAATTATAGTGAATAGTAAGTTTTCCTGATCAACTTCTGATGGATCTCTCTATACATTTTAGAAGGTGTTTGGTTAAAACAGTGTGTCATTTTTACAAGTTAAGGTAAATGAGGCAGTCAATGAGAATTGGTTTATACAGTCGTATCTGTTCTGAGCACATGGTTTGCCTTGTGTTCTTACTTAATATAATTTTAATATAATTTTCTTAAAATGGTTAAATGTGTTCTTTCAGTTGCACTACTCAATCGTGAGTGTTTTAAATAATTACTTTTCATTACGAAATCAGTGAGATAAAATCATGTCATTCCATGTTCACAAATTGCATTGAACTGTTTGTTACACCCTGCAATGTGGTGTACAATGAGTCCATTTACTGTAGTTCTATTCTCAGAGGTGTCACACAGTATACTGTATTATATCGGTAATTTTGATTTCACAGCCATCTATCCCTGTCTTCACACTAAACACACAGCTCCAGCTTGCCATCTAGAGTCTGATGCAGTTAATGAAAGACAAACCCACAATTCTTAAAGCAATACTTTAAATTGTTCCAGCACACAACAGCATCACCAAATCTCAGTTTTCCGAACTCTAGACTGATATTTTGAAACTCTACATAGATGGATGAGAAGCTGAAGATGAATAACAAAGTCAGTAAAGAAAAATGACAACTGAAAAAATAGGACACGAAATAGCAAGAAATACAGACTTCCACATGTCTTCTTCTCGTCAGATTATTGTTCACTATCTGTGAAACAAATTATTAGTATTATTATTTCCCAGTACCCCTCTTTATGGAATAAAACCATTTTACCATTGTAAGAATGCTATTGTTTTATTTATATAGATTTACACCAGTAGCTTTCCCCAAAGTCCCTTCCCATGTTGGTTCCCTCTCTTTCATGTAGATTCCCAAAGCATATAAAAGGTCTTGCATTTATTTGCTTACAGTCTAAGATTAAGCTTTTTTGCTGCAACTCTACATTATTCTGATTAGTCTACTGTTGAATTTTCAATCTATTTCTGGAGATCTGTTTTTGTGTCTTGAACATGTGAGTATTTTGTTTTCATCAACCACCATGTGAGTAGCAACTGAATTTAAATCAGGGCTGGGAATCAGTGCAGAGCTGTTTTACTTCACAGTAGAGCTTCAAACAAAGGTCTTACCAGTCAACATTAATTCACTCCAACAGAAACTGGAAAGGCTCTATATTCTTCTTTACAAGTTAGACAGTTTTATGCAGTAAAAGCTGATTTCCTTAGTTTTAGATCATAGTTAGTTGGATACCCTTATATATATATATATTCAATGTAGGAATTTGAAAGTCTTCTAAACTTTTAAGAACTAAACTCTTTCCAAACAAACAAACCTAACTATAGCTCCATGACTGGGGGGTCATAACCAGACTGTATCACGCCCACTGGGGGAGCATCCTAGCTAGCAGGTAAATTTAGGTCCATGAAAAATACATGAAATTAAATTAAATTCATATTTGTGCGTATAATAATAGTATAATGAGCTAAAACACCTGCAATGACACTAGCCTTTACCGGCCAAATTATGCCTGGGGACTAATGTCAGACTGTAAAACAACACAGAAGCTAACGTTAGCTTAATTAGAAAACTCGCGCTAGCTAATCTAAGATAATCTCAGCTAGCTATCCTAACTCAGCTCAACAACTATTAATTATTATTAAGTAAATGTTAAATGTCTTTTACCTTCCAGGGCTTCCCATCTGTTTCTCCACTGCCTGGAACGAAACGCCCGTAGCGTTTTAACCTCCATGCCCGACTGCTGGCCATTTCCAGTAACTTCAGACAAATGATTTGGTTTTCTGTCAAACCAACACCTGATGTGAAGTTACTAACGTCAACGTTACCTAAGTACAGTGTGTACGGACTGATGGCAGCCAGCACAATGAAAGCATTATAGGATATATAGAGGATAGTTATCATCACAAACAGCCAGCTTATGTTGACAGGGACGTTTAATGTGCTCTCTGTTTAAATTATACACAGGGCTGAAAACAGTTGTTATTTATTTTGCTAAACAATAATAAGCCAACATATAGCCATTTTGCTATTTGCTTCATACAAAACAGGCAACCATCTGCCATCTTTGTTTTATTTTGAAAACTTGAAAACTTAATGTAGTCATAAAGGAAACGATTTATTTAGTTTTTATTAGTTGTGACCTAGATATGCGCAGACTGGGACATTTAATGGTGGACAAACTATTTAAAGGTGACACTGTTTCTAAAATGACCTCAAACCTGGTTTGGCATTTAAGTTCTGCAGTTTCTTGTTGCTTATTACAATATAAAAAATATACAATGACACCAATATATCTGCAAAAAGCTTACATCAGTTGACATATCAGCCTGGGCCAATGTATTGGTCCATCTCTATTAGATGTCTGCCATGTCTAGCTCAAAGCAGTTTGCTTAAAACCATCTAGTCTGATCTGCCCACTGTATTGTTTTCCTCCCAGATCCAGCTGCTAACTTCACTAAGACAGAGAGGGAAAGAGACACAGTACAGGTAGGACAAAAGCCAGATGATGGAAAGAATTTCACAACAACCTGAATAAATTACATTTGTTTGTTGTTCACTTCCCTTTCACAACACTTATCCTTGATCTAAATCGTCAAAATCTTACTGATAAAGTCAGGCATGTTCGTGTGGCCACATGGATTACTTTGTAGGTTTCAAGTTTTGCTCAGTGTGGGAAGTGAAGAGAAACCTTGATAGCACTTCTGACATGTAGGACAGCAGTGTGACCGAACATAGGTTCAACATGGTAGTTATGGACTGGATTTTTCTCACCACTAGCTCTCTAAGACAAGCTTGGTGTACTCTTTGTTATCCAGGTACTTGAACAAATTACCTCAAAGGGACTCAGTGGGGTTTTTAACTGCTTTAAGCTGGTTTAGCAACCCCTCAGTACTTTTTTGTTACACTCCCTCTCTCCCTTGAAAGTGCAACTAGCCAATAAGTGGGTTCATTAATAGTACTCTGGAAAGGGGCTACTTAGAATGTGTGTAATAATTAAAATAAACAACTGGGAGGACTTTCACTGGGTGCAACATCTGTATTTGTGGCTAGAATTCAGTTCAGTTTATTCATTTGTGAATGGGGAGCCATTTTTTACATTAACAAAAAAACTCTGTGACTTATATTTGACGTCAACATCTCAGACAAAGTATTCATATTGAATTGAATGTGTCATTGTTCACTGCCATAGAATAACTATTTTTCTACACCACAATAAAACATATAATTCTGACCTACCTGTGAGAATCTGCTGATTAACAGATAGATAGATAGATAGATAGATAGATAGATAGATAGATAGATAGATAGATAGATAGATAGATAGATATACTTTATTGATC